CTTACCAACTCCACAAAGCACCTGAAGCAAATCTATTATTACACCAGACTGTCCATGTGAATGTCTGTGTCAATAGGATAATTTTAGAAGACTTGCGCTAGCCTAGCACCAACAATCTCTTCAAATATAAGGACTGGATGGATTATTTCAAAAAGTCTCTCCACATATCTACAGTACTCTGGCTCCCTAGGAAATTTCTGAACTGTCCCTTTAACTTTGCACTGCAAGATGGATTCTTGTGTTATTTTACTCAACTCATGAGAATCCATCTTGGAGCACACCCACTGTAAAGATAACTGGGCGGGCGATCACGTTGCAATTTTGAAGTTTGTGCAGAAGCCAAAGGCGAAATGCCCAAACGAACCAAAACAAACATGGCATTGCTGACTGACATACTTCAGGTATGTTAGCGTCAATACAAGCTATTTAGTTTGTGAAAAACATGTAGATGGTAAGCGCTTTGTGCATTTGTAGGCAGGGAAGATGTCTGTGCTTTTCTGTCAACTGAATGTAATGTAAAGTTTGATTTTTCCGCTGTTCTGATGGTTTGACCAATCAGATTCAAATAGTCGCCATGACGTTCCGAGAGCCATGAATGCAACGCCTGCTCATTTCCAGTGGTAGATTTAGACCATAGCTTTAGTTAATGGTGCACTCAATAGTACAAGTGTGAGTGTGTTTTCTGCATTGATTATCACTGGGCTTGTTGATTCCCTATGGGCCTGGTCATTCACTGCGTTGTTAACAAAGGTGCAGTGGCTTGAGGCATAGCTTGGACCAGTAGACCTGAACTCAGCGAAACTTGGCTAAAGGTTAATGTGACTTCAGATGGAGCACAGCCCATGAGATGTATACGAGTGCAAAATGTCAAAGCAATTACAGTGGGGCTGGTGTTGGGAGGAGTGAGGATCAAAACTGTAACGGAAACATGGCAAGAGCAAAACCAATTATACTGCCTGGCAAATCTAGAATGAGATCTCTCTGGATTTTTTATACAGAGGGATGCCAGTCTGGTTCTGACGCCAACCAAACATGTTTGTGCAAGATTTGTTTATTTCAGTGATGAATATGAAACAAAAGGAGCTCATTCTCATTAGTCAGCTATTACATGTGTGCAATCGAAGTTGCTCATAGGTCAAGGGAATGTGCAGTTATTAATAGAAAATAAGACTGTGAAGGGCCTGCATGTACAGAGTGAAAAAAGTCCCTGTGGTGTATCATTTGTGGTTACTTAAAACTGACTCTTGTGAGCTTTATGCAATGTTATAATGCTGTCATTCACACATGTTTCAGTAACCACCTATTATTAGTTTGTTTACATCTCCAAAGCTCAAAACGCTCTGTTGCATTTTGTCATGTCTTTATGTGATTTTCAAGTGAACAGCCACCTTTCACCTTTAGTTCAGTAGAGATTGGCAATTCCAGGGCTAAAATTATCCAAACAATTCTAATGAAGGTGTGTGGAGTTTAAAAGCACAGTGGAGTACTTCCTGCATTACCACATGACATCACGTGGTGGAACAGTGTGTTTTCAGTTTGAGAGATGAACTCAGCCTAAATATGCAAGGTTTGTGTGTTAACCAAGTGTGAATGAAACAAAACACAACTAAAGGTATGTTTTTGATAAGGAAACATTATAACATAGATATGAAAATAGCAAAACATGGTCCCTTTAAGTTTCCACTGATGTTTTATAATTAAACTACACTACACAGCATCGTACTCTATCACAGACCTAATTCCAAGGCTTCCGTTCACTCCCGTCCCCTCCTGGAACTTTGCATTGGTTTTATTGAACTTATCTGTCCAGCAGCCAACAAGTAATTCTCTTCTTATTGCACAAAGGGAAGACAAGAGCCCCATTATGGAGCCTTTACCCTGGATCGCTTTCCTATAACCACATGTTTCTGTCCTTTCATCCTATCTTTATCTATGTAGCCTGTTCTAAATGGGCGAGGAGTTGTCCAAGCTCTGAAGAATTAAATAAATTCCAAAAACGTGGCTTGGGGCTGTATAGAAATTAATCAAAGAAAAGAACTCTCAAAAGAATTAATTAAATCTATCATTTAAAGGTGCATTGCGTAATTTTTCTGGTGGAGGGTCCGTCAAAAGCTTTTCTTCATGGAGATGTTATTGCTGTGTCTGGAATGTTTCACAGTGTGGCATTCAAACCAAACCAGACCAGGTTACAGGTCAGATCTGTGAGGAGGCAACTCCACTCACAGTCAGAATACCAGGTTTTTGTGACTGTAATTGAATACATGCAAGGTAGAGCTGTTTAATGTCATATTGTGGAATATCCTAAGCAGAATAATGACATATCCATAGAAACAAGAATGTGACGGACCCCCAACAGAAAAGTTACACATTGCACCTTTAAAAACTTTCTGAACGTTCTGAATTATATGACTGTTCATCTCAAAACAAGTATTTTTTAACTCATCTGAATATTGTCTGTGTAATCCCTTAGTTGTCCAGGTATGATAGCATTGATGATCCACAGCAAAAGAAAAATTCTGTTCTGTCAAGTGGACAACAGTTTTAGAGTGAAGACTTTCTGCTGCTCATTCAAGCTCTGTGCACATTAATGCTGTGGATCCAAACATCATTTTCACATGGGAATAGGCCAAGGAGAACAAATTGGTCTTCTGATTGTGCAGTAATTATAGGAGAAGGCAACTCCGGGTAGAAGTCTTCAGGAAGCCCACACACACTGACATATACCTGCTTTTTGATTCACACCATCCACTGCAACACAAACTCTGAGCTATTTGAACATTACAGCACAGGGCCCAAGTGGTTCCTACAAGCACAGAGGGAAAAAACAAAGCAGAGCATCACTTCATTTTTGTCAATATCGCCCACCTGAACCTTTCGTACACTTGATTCTTCATATTGGGTATAAAGATAGCCCTGCTGCAGAGTAGAACTGATGCAGTGTTTTAGATATACTTTTTAGTAGATATAGATATATGATATATTTGTGTACAATGCATTTGTCTTATATGTTTATTAATGCTAGCAAATACTGTGCATAGGCCTATAATTATCTATCAATCTTTGAGCCCTTTACAACACACAAGGAGACCAAAGTGCTTTCTATTAAAATCAACACAATATAAAACATGCAAAATAGTAAACTTTATAAATAAATATAACAAATGCAAAGTGCAAAATGCCAGTGCATTAATGAGTGTTAAAAGTATTAGTCATCTGTAATTATGGCACTCAGTGAATATATTGTACCCCTGAAGAGAATCATTGCACATGGAGGCAAACCATAAATACTCACCTAAAATAACAACAGACCATAAGATCTTGGTTGAAATGGAGGTTGTCGCTTGTCTCCATGGAGATGTTATTGCTTTCCACAATATGGCATTAAACTGTCTAGAATTTATTGGTGCAAGGGTGTAGGTTTGCACAGGGACTGTGGGGACATGTCACAACGAATATTTGGGGAAGACAAAATAGTCCCTACCAATATTTGCCATTTTATTTTAATAAACAAAAATATAAATTTCTTCTGATATTTTTCGAAACTCAATAGTATTAATTTAACAAGTTTTCGTTCACATTTTGTTTATTAGACGTTCTGAGATGTACTCAGTGATATTGTGACAGGGTTACCCATGTTGGATTTTCATTGGCTGCAACAGAGTGATGTCATTAGTGGAGCCAGGAGCCTAAACTGGGGAAGTGGCAGGACAGGGCCAGCACCTGAAAATGGCAGCTTGAGCAGGTGTGAGTGAAGATGCTGCACACCAAACTTTGAAAAACTTTTCAAAAGGAACTTTCTTGGCTTCATCTTCAAATAAACTTTCCTTATAATGAGTCGCCACAGAAAAAAGAGCAACTATTACCACAAGTGCACCTCCAAAACAGAGCCCTACTCGTACGCTGTTTAGCAGCGGGACTCTATTGACAATATTCCATGGAAAAATGTTCGGACATTTCTTCACAAATATCTCATCACCAACAAGCAAAGAGAAATCTGATACAAACTTCTACATCACTGTTATCCACTAAAGAATAATCTTCGGGCAATGGACACAAACTGTACATTTTGCGAACTGAAAAATGAAACCACCTCTCACTTATTCAATGCACAAGATCCCAATAATGCAGCGGTTGTATTATTTATTTTGAGAACAAAAATATTATATAGGCTAATGTTATTTGTTATCTGGAATGTTTTTCTGTTGCACAAGAGCCTAAAATGTTCTTAACATCTGAAAAAAGTAAAAAGTAAAATGTTGTTAAAGTAACCTGTCAGTTGGTTTTCATGGGGGGGTTGGTCTTACCAAATGCTGAGACCAAATCTTCACCCTTGAACAGGTGTTTTTATTCATGAGAAAAACCTGTATTTTCACTGTGAGTGGGTTTGTGTGTGTCTGAAGAGCTCTGACCTGTACCATGCCCTGATTGAGTCACTTGCTTTTCTCCATGGATTTAATTTGGAGCATTTTAGGCAAACCAATGTCATCACCATGACGACAAGCATTTTGCAAATCCTTCACTAGAAAAGTTACATAGTGCACCTTTAGCCAAGTGTATGAACAACCCTGCAAGGACAGATATCAAATTAGCATATGTCAACAGCTCATGTCTGATCTAATCTTCAAAGCAGGTCTATTGAGTTTATATTAACGACCCAATAACTTCACAAATATTGATCTGTCATTGGCCTCCTCTGTTTTACGCGGCGCCTCCGTTGTCATTGCCTAAATGAAATCTCCCCTTCAGCTTTTACGATCCACTGTCCCATTATTACGAATATGAGAAAGCCAGAAAGCCATATTGCCACGAGCAGGGGGTACGGCGCTGGTATTACGGGTCTGTTACGCATGCGCAGTCGGACATCACCGCTTGTTCTCTCTCTTCCTTGTATCTGGTCCAGCGGCAGTAGCAGCAGTAGCAGAGGAGGAGCGTCTGTTTTCGGTCCTCAGTGATGGGTAGCGCGCGGCAGGAGCAGGTCACCATTGCGCGCGCGGTGGAGAGGGTGCGCTAAGGTGACAGGGACCACCAGCAGGCAACGCACGCGTGACACGGGGAAATAACGTAAAAGCGACGTCCTTGAGTGAGTGGAAAGCACTGCAGAGGAAGAATAAGGATGGGGAAGATTAAAGTATGGAGCGTAGTGAAGAGCGTCTGATTGCGAAACCGTGAAGAAGCCGAAGCAGGTGAGTTAATGGCTAATTGAAACGTAACCTCAATATGGTCACCTGGGATTTGTATTTAAATATTTTGATGAATATATAATGTAACTAAATTAAATCAAAACCAGATTACAAAATTACCTAAACGATGCATCCATAAACGTTACGCAAAAAAAGATTTCATTCAAGATTTTGGTTACACAACAAAACCCCGCAGGTACAGAAGATGGGGCGTCAAGCAAGCCTCCCGTACGCTGCGTAAAAGTGTGTTGGAACAAGACATCACGTACATTTGCCATTAAGGACTTTTACGTGTCTACTCAATTTGTTCATGTCAAATCTCTGGCGTCATCGCAGGAACCCAGATAACCTTGAGGATTAAAAAAAAACACACACACATATACACACACCTACACACACATACACATAGCCTATTTCCAATACACAGACGTACGCACCTCCATATACGTAATTCCCTTAACACAGGGACGACTAGCAGTGCAGGATGAATCATAGAGAACAGTTATAGGCTATGGTATATTTTTAGGATTTCTTTTACATAAATATAGCAATAATGATTTACGAAATGAGAGTATTTTCCAATCTGCCGCGTCCTTACGTTACATGTGGGTTAATATGTGGTGAAAAATTGCTATAAAAATACGGTTTATATTGGGAGAAGTGGAACTATTGTTAACTCTGCGGTTGTAGCATTGCAGAGGTTTCAGCAGCCTTCACAATAGTAAATTACAAAGAGAGATAAGAAGGGATGGACATTCTGGTTCCCTACTGAATCCTAATTATTGATCCAGCCAGTAAAAATCAGATAACATCACACTAATTAGATCAGATTTTGATGTAGGTTTATAGGTAATCAATGGAGTTTAGAGTAACTGTTATAGACCTACAACTTGGAAGACAAAGTACAATAGAATACATTTTAAAATAACTTTAAAGGTACACTGTGTAACATTTCTCCTAGTGCAGGGTCCGCCACCTGCTTGTCTCCATGGAAATGTTATTGTTTTTTCTAGAATGTTCCACAGTATAGATTAAACTTTTCTATTGCAAGGAAGACAAGCAGGTTATATTACAGTGACAGTTCAGATCTGTGGAAAGTCACTCTTATTCACAGAAGAAATTATTCTGTTTTTGAGTAATAGAAACACTGCAATGAATAAATGCTAGATGGATATGTGTAATGCCGTAGTACGAAACATTCTAAGCAAAGCATTAACATCTCCAGGAATACAAGTAGGTAGCGGACCTTCCACCAGAACGGAAGCACATTTTGTCTTTTTCATTTGCCACATTAGTTTATCTTTTCATAATTTCAGTCATCATAAAAGAGAAATTTCAACATTTGATTTTTTTCATGACATTTCGATAATCTGATAAACTCAGACATAGTGATAGTGATCAGACTTTTAATGAGTGTAAACCTCAGAAGTAGACTAATTCATTTATCAGAATAAGAATTAATGTTATGTGTGCCCAAGGGAGAGAATTATTATTATAAGATCAATGATAGCCATATGTTACTGTATTTCTTCATAGCAATTACACTCACAATCCACTTTGGTTAGATGGATTGTTATGCATATACAGGACATTTTAACTGTGGCTCTGATGCTGCTTTGTGTTTTGTAAGACTATAGATTATGATCAGATGAGAGTAGCTACCATGTAAATATAGTGCATCAACCATATTTAAAAGCACAATTAATTTCTGTTTATAGTCAACATCCTGTCTGGCGAGTAATGATTGAATGACTGGCCCGTGAGAAAAAACATTAGCGTCATATCTGATATTATTAAATCAGTCTCAGTCACTTCCAATTGCTTTTTATATTTATAGCCACAGAACAAGATGTTGTCTGTTATTGATAGTATTTTTATGTGGGCAAATTGACCCTAGTAGAAAATAATGAATCATTTATAAACACGTTGCCGTACGATGAGGAGAAGAGGACGAGAGCATGACCTTTGTACAGTAATGTGCAGCCGGACATGACTGTACAGAGAGCAGAGGGTTCAGTGTGATTCACAGCCAGTTCTATCATCTCAACAAATCATTTCCAGGACTACACACACACACACACACACACATGCACACAGCTGGTCAGAATGTTCTGGTTTAAAATTACATCACAATATTCAATAAGCCTATGTAGTATAATTATGCTGAAATGGATAAATGAATATTAAAGGTGCACTATAAGGGTCCAACACCTGTTTTTCTCCTTGTAGAGCTTATTGCTTTGCCTGGAATGTTCCACCGTATGCCATTAAACAAGCTTATTTCCATGGAGACAAGAAAGTGATGCCACCACATAGATCTCTAAGAATGCATGTTTCAAACTATTTTTGATCAATAAAACACCCATAAAAAAGAAATGCTATATAGATGGGCACTTTCAGGATAATAGCTTGATAATTTGTGGATTTCCTTTTTGCATGTTTTTTGAATATACATTAAACAGAAAACTGTCTCCCATTCCAACCAGTGCTGCGTTAAAATGGATTTGACATTTATCATAATGTCAGCTTCTGCATTGGATTTATGTAACAGTGAAATAAGGCCAGCATCATGTCAACACTGGATCAGAACAGAGCCTGTGCCTCTAGTTTAGACGGATATTACCAAAATAGATGCGATTTTAATCTCGGTAACAAATAAATTGAGCACAGTATATCTGGTTCATCTATGGCATTACATTACATATCACAGGGGATCATATACGTCATAGTACTCTGTTTGCTAATCCCAACCGTGGAAGAATGGAATTGTTGTAGGCAGGGAACCAGGTGTAAAATCAAAAATCAAATCAAAACTGGATTAAAAATGATGTAACTTTAGGGGCCCATATTACGCTATTTTCTGATTTCTTTTATAATGTTGTTTCCTCATCACAAACATAACTGGAGCTGTGTTTTGCTTCATTCACACACCCTAAAGCACCCTGGTCCAACTTGATGTCATGTGGTAATACAGGAAGTGCCCCACCGTGTTTTAAAACTCATTTGGATCATTTCAGTCCTGGAAGTAGTGAACTCTTAACCAGAAATCTTACACTGCGCACCTTTTAAAAAAAATCAATCCTTGTCTCCCCTGTCTTACGGAGCTCATGTATTAATTTGTTTGTGAAACTTATATCACTGAAAGATCTATTTCTGTACACTCATCTATCTCCTCCCACACAGTGTAAGATAATGAGGTATTGTCCTATTGTTCAATGCAGACAACATAAACAAGGCTTCTCATACCTTAGAGGGAAATGGCTGCTGTGGTACGGGAAAAAGCAGAAAGAAAACTTAAAGGGCTTATATTACACTAAATTGAGTCTTGTGAGCTTTAAGCCATGTTCATTACCTCATCAAAAACATACCTGGAGTTGTTGAGTTTTGTTTCTTTCACACATGTTAGTTTGAGCGACCATTTTTATTATTTGTCCGTTTACATCGCCAAAGCTCAAAATGCTCTGTTCCACCTTGTGATGTCATCCATCTGGAATTTTCAAGTTAACAGCTACCTTTTGCATTTTTTTCAATAGAGATTGGCAATTCCAGAGCTGAATTAACCCACATGATGAATAGTGATGGCGCATGGAGTTTAAAAACACAGTGGAGTGCTTCCTGTGTTATTACATATCTGTCACAAGGAAACAAAGGGAGGATTCAAAATGCAGGACTGCTTTAAAGGTCTTTAATAACAAACCAAAAAAAAAAATATAAAATATCAAAATCAAAAAATTGAAACTATACTGCCATGAAAGGACAAGACACTGACAAAAACACAGACAATGGCAAATACAATGGACCAACAAAGCGCAGAGGAGAACAGAGGGTATAAATGCACAGACACAGGTGAAACACAACAGCGTGGGGCAAACAATCAAGACAGGAAGTAAAGCTCAAAACTACAAGAAGACAGGAAAATTTCATACTAAACGGGCGCACAACACTAAAGGAAAAAGATACACCAAAATAAGCAAAAACAACCACTACAGAACATGAACCATGACAATGACATCACAAGGTGGGATTGAGTGTTTTCAGTTTGAGAGAAGAACTCAGCTTAAATATGCAGTGTTTGTGTGATAAACATTTGTGAATGAAACAAAACACAACCCCAGGTATATTTTTCATGAGGAAACAACATTATAACATAGATCAGAAATCAGCTTGAAATGGTTAAAATTAATAAGAGGTTTCATCGGTTACATAGAAATAAGGCTTATAAAGGTGCACCCTGTAGACTACTTTTACACACTCTGCTTATCACCGTATCACCATATCGGAAACTATTTGCATCCACACACGTCCTTTCTGTGTTCACAAGCCTTCCCCATCCACACAGCTTTGAGCATATTTGTTTACGTTTTACAGAAACGAATCTTAAAACCGTATGGCTAATTTGCATAAACTAAGCACTCAAAAACAGCTCGCTATTGTGTCGCTTGTGTCATGTTAAACTTTTCTGAGATTATATGTCTCTAGGCCGTATGCATAGACCATATATATGAATGGACATATATTCTAGCCTCTTAGCGTTTTGGTGGTGAATTACTTCGCAGTGCTTAGACCTGCATCAGCATATCAGCGTTTTCAGGCGTCCACACAGTGCCAGATCAGGTCTGTACTCAGATGAATTTGTGGGAGCTGGCGGCACCAGATCGTTCTGTCTCTGGAGCCGTTTTCCATCGGATTAGTGTGGACGAACAATGCATCCGCAACGAAAATGACTCAAATACGTACTAGTGTGGACAGGGTCATAGGTTATGTTTCAAGTGAGGGGTCAGCCACCTGCTTGTCTCCATGGAGATGTTATTGCTTTGCCATGGTCCACAGAATATCATTAAACCTATCTATTACCATAGTGATAAGAAGCTCACAGAAAGAATGTATGTTTTTCTTATATTTTTTAAAACAACTCATGCAATTGAATAAATGCAATATAACTCCATTTACTCCCATACTGTGGACCATTATAGACAATCTCATAGCATCTTCCCCACCAAAAAAGTTCCGTAATGCACTTTAAAGTTCTAATCACCTATTGATTTAATGTTTGCCATTTCCTCCTCTTCTCTCTAACACTGATAGCAGTTACATCTAGGAAGTATCCCATTATGTAAAATTAGATTCGTTTAAACGCAAATTACCACTGCGCCTAGAAGATGCCAGGCTATTCCCATACAGCAGGTGAATGCACTGAACTGGCAAATGCACTACAGATTTAAAGCTCCAGAGCCCAGATTGCAGCTCCTGTGTGGCCATATGAGTGTACTGCAGTGGGCCATAACTCCAGTAACTCCAGTGGTGAGAAGTATTCGCCCATGAAGGAGACCTGGATCAGATGGTGTATGGATATGGAGATTAAGGCTTGTCATCATAAATTACGAGGTTAATATGGGGTGTAAAAGGGAGAAAGAGAAGAAAAGGAGAGAGAGAGGGAAAAGAGAGAGAGAGAAAGAGAAGGACAAACAAAGTGAGAGAAGGAGAGTGAGAAAGAGACAGAGAGAGACAGAGTGAAATGGGAAAAAGAGAAATTTGGTGCTTCAGGGAAAGGTTTAATAAGGTGTAAAGGTCCTATGTAATTGGTATTCAAACCACTTCCGTCACTGAAGGGTAAAAAGAGGAATCGCATTCATGGCAATAAAGGGATGTCAAGGTTATTTGGTTAATTGATAATCGTCATTATATCGTATTCATGTCTATAATAGTGAGTAACTTGCAGTGACATCAGCCTGGGGTGTTGGACGTGCATCTCTAATGGCGGAATGTTCAGTTGGTACCATGGTGACACGATGCAGACATTAGCAAACACTGACAAAAAAAAAGTTTAGAGATACAAAATCAATTTAAACAACACATTTTCAGGAGCCAGTGATCAATACGAGCTTTCATGGTCCTGGTAAGGAGAGAGCGACTAAATGAAAAACAGTTGGCTAATGCTTTATTACTTGTGACTAGTAAAAAAGCCATTTCAATTCGATATAGGCTACTCCAAAAAAGTAGACTGATTTGTAAAGTGTGTAAAAGTGACTTTGAGGAATTTTGCATAAACATACATTTCTCAGACTCAGATTATTGGTTTATTTACAGAGCAGGTTGCAGACAATGGCCAGGCAGCAGTGAGATGTGAGTCAGCTGCTATTATTGTCCCGGATATTAAAGATATATGAGATATCAAGTATGTGTCCAGAGAGAGGGAGTTTGAGTGAGCATTGAGCACAGAGAGGGGTTTGAAGGAAGGAAATACTATGTTTTAAGTGCACTTAGAAGCACTGTACAAGCATCTATCTGTCCTGCTTGCCTAGAGACATTCATTCACAGACTACATATTTTACATAGAAGGAGAGAAAAAAAGTCAATTAAAGAAGACATGCTTTTTTTCATAAGTATTTAAAGGTGCTTTCTGTGTTACTTTTTGATTTGGGGTCCATCACTGGCTTGTTTCTATGGATATGTCATTGCTCTGCCTGGAATTTTCCACAGTATGAATTTAAACAGTTCTGCCTTACATTTTCTTCAATTGCAGGTGGCTTTACCGCTCAAAAATACCAAGAAAAACAGGCATTTTGAGCGAGCAAGGTTGCCTCTCCACAGATTCTGACCTGTAACTTGGTTTGCTCTCCATGAAGATAGAAAGATTTTATACCATACTATGAAACATTCCAAACAAAGCAACAACATTTCCATGAAGTATCTGACGGAACCTCTACCAGGAAAGTTACACAATGCACCTTTAAACTATAACATATTTGATAAATGTTGGTCTAAAGCTGTAACCAGGCTGGCGCCAACTAGTGCCTCCGTTCAATTTCATTTCTCTCCAGTGACTAGGTCAGGAATCGGAATACACTACATGGTTTGCTAGAACCCCGGAAGTTGTAGGCCACGCACCTGCCCATCAGCAAAGAGCTGTGAAGCCATGACGTTAAACTTGAGTACTCGAGTAAATAAAGCGGTCGAGATGGATGTAGACAAAGCCATACATTCTGTGATGTCAACAATTCCCGAGATCAAGGATTTAAAGCCGGAACAAAGAGAATGTTTGGTGAATTTTATCAAGGGGAAAGACGTTATTGCCCTTCTTCCTACAGGATTTGGCGCATTACATATGTCACAACCAAATAGCAGTGATTGGTTAAATAAAAAAAATACCTGCCTGTCGTCAAAAATACAACTCTATGATCATTGGTGTTAGAGAAAAATAATGGGGTATATTATATGAAAAAATCTTATTACTAAGACTTATCAGATTTGCTTTTGTTGTTTCAGGTATTGGTCCAATCTGACATTCCACCATGGAGTCGGCTCACCTTCTGGGCACCTCTAAGAAAAGAGTAAAGATCCACCCGCACACAGTGACTGCTCAGTATGCCACCCGCACCCCCTATTCCCCCCAACCGGGCATCCACACCCACTTCCCCCAACCCGGAGATGAGGGCTATGATGACGCGCCATCCTTCGAGGACTTTGGATCTTTCCTAGAAGAGACATCGGACAAAAAGCGTTTAACAGAAGGCAAGAAATGGCCACTGACTTTATTTACCTCAAAGGACAAAGACAGCACCCCGAAATCTGCATCTGCGGCAGGGACCAGTGGAGAGGGTGGGGATGGTAAAGCACCCAAGGGATCCTCTAGTAAAGGCGTCGGGGAGCAGCTGGCTAGTTTTGGAGAAGCTTCAGTGTCTGCTTCACGGATGACGTGGGTGGGCTTACTTGGAGCAGGGTTAGCGCATGGTGTTCTCATTGTCCTAACTAGGGTTGCTTCTGAACAATTCAAACTAGGTCCACTATTTTTGCTCTTAGTGCGATCGGTCTTTCAACTCATTTCTGTTGCAGTCCCACTACAAAAAGGTGAAAATCCATTCGGACCAAGCGGCTACCGGCTTCATCTTATCTTTTATGGTATTGCGTACTCACTCTCTCTATGTTGCGCTTACTCCTCTTTGACTTTTATCTCCAATGGCAACGCTACGACAACATGGCGACTCACAACCACCGCCCTTTCCGCCATCCTCGCGTTTTTGCTCCTCGAAGAACGCTTAGGTTTGATGGACGGGATCTCGATCATCGCTGGACTTTTCGGATTGGGCCTAGTCTTGCTTCCTACGGTTGACGAATACAACGTGGACAAACCTTCAGACCCTGTTGCGTTTTGGAAAGGGGCATTTGGTTGGTCGCTGTCTGCACTTGCGGGACTGTGGATGGCCCTAGCACTAGTCGGATACCGATCTCTAAAGGAAAAAATTGGCGTAGGAACTGCCCTCTTCACGGTCAGTTGGACAGGCTGTCTTCTATCTCCAGCTACTCTGGCTCTGCTCCAGGAGGGGTGGTCTTGGCCGACGAGTGCCCAAGCTTGGGGTCTCATCTTGGGACTGGTTGCTTGCTCCGTCGCTGCCTTCTTAGGAATGACCCACGCCCTCACCCGCCTTCACCCCGCCATAGTCTCGGCTTCTCAAACTGTGGAGGTGCCCCTTGCCATGCTCCTGTACCTTGCCGTACTGCCAGAAGCGCCCTCCGCACTCGAAATCATCGGGGAGGTTTTTATTTTGATCAGTGTGAGCTGGATGGTGGCGATGAAGTTGTTACCATCCAGAGTCGTGCCCAGGCGCCAGAGGGAGGAGTACGAGGAGATCCTGGATTCACCCATTAAATAGATGACTCACAGCTCTCACAATGCCAAGAAATACAACCTCAAATTCAAAATAAGTTGGGGCACTTTGTAAAAGCCAATTTTTTTTCTTTTTTATCTAATGAATGTCATAAAAACATAATTCTTTCACTAATACTAGGATGGTGTTTTTCAAACTATTGTACGTGAGGTGATTTTGGTCGTTCACAAGCTCATAAATTTTGGTCTTATGTTTGAAAAAACTCAGGTTACGCTGTTGTCCTTTTTTAGACTTAGTTTAGATCTAGTTTAGGCCTGGCTTAGTCCTGGTTTAGATCTGAGAGCCAAAGATGCAACCTGAGAAAAAATAGAGAAGAACTGCTCTGGAATATTATCAGACAGACCTACTGAAACAGTTTTAGACTTGTAGAAATTTCAAAGAGTTGTGAAAAAGGCAACAAAAGATTAGTAAAATAATATTAAATAAATTATTTTTTTGATATTTAATATTGCTGAAGATATATGTATTTAAGGTTAAGGTACAGTTAGGCCTGTCACAATACCAAATTTTTAAGCACAATACATATATAGAGATATACAGCAATAAATGGTCATATTGAAACTACTACTGTCTACTGTCACTGATACAATAAAAATACTGCAAGATGATACTTGTGAAGGATTTTCAAATAGACTGTATCATTAAAATGCCTGAACTACAACAAATAAATAGCAGAAAGTACCTGTAATTAGTCCTGGAAATAACTTTTTTTTAACTTAGTACAGCTCAAAAGATCACAAACTTCTCCACTATTGCAACAAAATTATACACACAATAAATACTGAGTCCGATCTTGGCCTGGGTCACTGAATGTTAGATATAGAATTAACCTATGCTGTGTCCAAGAATATGCAACCTCCACAGAAGAAGTCCATATTCAGGCAGGGACCTTTACATCTTTAAGTGTCCCAACTGTTTTTGAAATTGTGGTTGTCATAGTGATTGTAAATAAGACACTTGATGCTAAATGTTTATGGAAGCTTTATCTATTTTGTATTGTCTTTGCTTCTGGGGACGTGCCAATCTTGTGTTGTTCAGTGCTGTTGTTGTTACGTGACATTAAAATCTATGAAAAGCACAACATGTTTTTCTTTACGCAGGTTTATTATTTTTATTATGATGTATTTATGTATTTAGTGTATTTACTGGCGCAGTGAGTGTTATGTCAGTCACCTTTAAGAGCCAGCTGAGAGGCCGCCAAAGATTGATCGGTTTGTAACAAGAGAAGAGGAAGAGAGAGAGGGAGGAGAGAGAGAGAGGGAGGAAAGGAGGTGTTGAGGAGAGGTGAGATAATGGTTTTGTTAGAGAAAGTATTAAGAAGATGATAGAGGTGTGAGAGATAGAGGGGAAAGGAAAGAGGGAGAGATGGGAAAAAAGCAAAAGATTAAGTAAATTAGGAAGGTGGGGGGAGAGGAGTAGTTGGACACAAACAAACGAAAGAAAAAGTCAAGGAGGAAAGAAAATATAATAGCTGTAATTAGTTGGAAGATAAGAGGGAGAGACAAAAGAAAGGTAGAAAGAAAATGAGGGAGGGAGAGGAAGAAAGGGAGAGAAAATACAAAGGGAAGTTGAGGCAGAGGGATAGAGTTGACAAGGATAAGAGGGGGGAGAGGAAAGAGACAAAACAGATAGAACGAGTAGATGGTTGTTATAAATCATAGGAAGATGAAAGAGACAGATAGATAGAGGAAGAGAAACATGTTTGTGTCAGTGTCATATACATCAGATGCATGAAAGAGAGAATTGAGAAAGAAAAGTATAGGCAGAGGAGAAAAGGGGAGGAGAGGAAGGAAGGGGAAAGAGGAGATGTTTGGTTGAGATAAATGAGTAGGAAGAGGGGAGATGATAGCGTTGGCGCACAGATGGGGAAGAGGAGGAGAGAAAAGAGACGAAAGAGAGAAGGGTAGTTTTGTGAGATAAATTATAGGATGATGAGAGTGGGAGTGGGGGAACAGACAGAAAAAGGGAAGAAAGAGAAAGGAAGAAAGAAAGTTGAGTTGTTGTTTTTTTAGATAAATTAATAGAAGGATGTAAGAGAATCAATTGAGAAAGAGAAGAGAAGAAAACAAGGGAAGACAGAGAGGAGAGAGGACAAAGAGAAGAGAGACACAGACAAAAAGAAAAAAATGTTTTGGAAAAAATATTGTAAGACATGAGAGAGGGAATAGAGAAAGAAAACATGTGAAGAGATGATGGGAGGAGAGAGAGGGAGCCAGAAAGTGGCAAATGGAAGGCGGGACAGGGAGGGGGGAAAGAAATGGTGTTTGGCTGAGGAGAGGAGAGAAAGACAAAATAGATAAAAGAGATAAATTAGAGTAAATCTAGAGTGGGGGAAAAGAAAAAAAAGAGAAAGAGAAGAGAGGAAGCGAGAGAGAAAGGGGAAGATGCTGAGAGCGAGGACAAAGAGAAGAGAGAGACAGGCAGAAAGAGAAGTTTTTTTTTTGTTTCGGAAAAAATAGAAGGTTGGAAGAGAGGGAATAGAGACAGAAGAGAGAGGAAGAAAGGATAAGAGGAGAGAGGGAGAGAGAAGTGTGGTAAATGGGAGGAGGGAGAGGGAGGGGAAAAAGAGGTGATGTTTGGTTGAGATAAACGAGTAGGAAGAGGAGGGAGATGATAGCATTGGCGTGCAGATAAGAGGCTCAGAGTGAGTGATGTGTGTGTGAAGGCTCAGTAAAGAGGACAGAGCCAAACCGAGCAACGCACAGTGTCAAAGGAATATGTCAAATCAACATCTACAGCAACAGCCTGCGAGGAGGTCACTGTCATGATTTGTCATCGTCAAAATACTATTTATGGATTTGCCATTCAAAGAGGTAACAGGTTAAAGAGAGAGACAGACAAAGAGAGAGAAAAAGAAAAAGAGTGGATGCTACAGAGACAGTGTGTGAGGAGAGCACTGTCATGATTTGTCTTTGTCTAAATACTGTTACAAGGTGATACTTAGGTAAGGTGCATGCATTTTCAGTTAAAATAATGAAGGAGATGGGGTAAGATTTGTAAATAACAGTATAGGTCATGAGTTTCCACATAGCTGATTAGCCTTGAGAAAGCTTACAAACTTTTAATTACTACTATATTTTTTTCAAAATTTTCCAGTTATTTATTGCAATTCAAGTCGTGCAAGTCCAAAGAAGAGCTTGAAATGGTACAAATGTAAGAACTGAACAAACAAAGGTTTAAAAAAAAAAAACCAAACAAACAAAAAAAAGATAAAAGATAACAAAACACAAGTCCAGGCTGTGCCAAAACTACCTCAGGAAAAAAGAACAAGATGGTGAGCTTGAAAACACGGAGCTTCCAGCACAGTGTCCAGACTTAAACCCCATCGAGCTGGTTTGGGATGAAGTGGAGAGAAGAGTGAAGCAACCTACAAGTGCCACACATTTATGGGAACTTCTGCAACATACATGGGAAGAACTTACTGAAGAATATTTGATTTTTATTGTAAAAAAGAACGAGCCACGAGTGTGTTCAGCTGTTATATCTGCCAAAGGTGGACACTTCATGAATCAAAAGTTTAGAATATGTTTTGGTCAACAGTAAACAGTAAAAAGTAAAAAACTGGTAGTGTTCTAAAAACTGTTGACCATTACTGGTCTACTTCTGGAACCGGGTGGTGGGCGTTCACTGTTGAGCTCCATTGCATTATAGGGCAATAATACTGAATTCAGCAAAAGATGTTCATTTTGTCTTCTTATATACTTTAACTTCTTGGGTTCTTTTTTAAAGACAATGCAGTAAAGTGTATTTACCTTGTTGACATGTTTCGGCTGCTAGCTGCAAGCCATCTTCAGAACAAAACACTGAATTCAGATACAGGACAGCTAAAATTATTATTGCTAAAATGCAGATTTTTTGTGAACCAGCTGATTAAGTATTTTTGAGCATTAAAAACAGATTAAATGAAATAACTGGTCAAATGTAATGTCATAGAGTCAAGAGAAAATAAGAAAACATCCATGAAAATATGCAGGTATATACTCTTCACCAGAAAACTTAAAAACATTTAAAATGTAGTAAGACTTGTAGCAGTAGTTTATTTTCTTCAGTTGTGTACTCATGTACTTAATAGACTTAAATGTCATTAAACAAAGTAGAAAGAACATCCACCTTTGGTATACATGGATTTACTTCACTTATATTTAAATGACAAACTCACATATTTTTAGAAATCCATTGATTTATTGTCACATTAGGCTTTATAACTAAGCCTATACCAAACAGCAAGAAGCTCCATTAAGAAGTAATTGGAATTTACGCAAAATTGACTCTTGAGTTTTAAGCCATGAATGTTCTTTCCTCATCAAAAACATATCTGGAGATGTTTTTTTTTTTTTTTCTTTTTTTTTTCTTTTTTTTAATTTTATTATTAGTCTGTCTACATCTCCAAAGCTCATAATTCCACCTTGTGATGTCATGAAGAGGTAGTTTTCAAGTTAACAGCTACCTTCTACCTTTAGTTTAGTGGAGACTGGAAATTCCAGTACTAAAATTATCCAAGTCCAAGTGAAGGTGTAATGGAGTTTAAAAACACAGTGGAGCACTTCCTGTATTACCACATGACATCACAAGGAGGAACAGAGTGTCTTCTGTTCGAGAGATGAACTCAGCCTCAGGGTTTGTGTGTTAAACATGTGAATGAAAACACAATTCTGGATATGTTTTTGATGAAGAAACAGCATTATAACATAGATCAGAAAATAGTTTAATATGGGGCCATCAAACAGCACATTTAGCATTTACATTTTCACTCTTCTAGTCAGTAGAACACATCCAAGTCTTTCTCCGACTGTCCCCAGATTTATGAGACAGGAACAGAGACATAATACACTCTCACTAGCAAAATAGACAAGAGTTTATGAAAATAATTACCAAAACACAAAACATTACAGATTCATTATCCACTGTTGATGATAGAGAGAGACAGAGGGAGAGCTAAAGAGAGAGAGAGGGAGAGACAGGAAAAAAGGACAAAAAATTATAAAGAGGGGCTGGGTATATGAGATAAATTAGGAAAATGACACAGAGAGAGAGAGGGAGTGAAGAGAGACAAAGAGAGGGAGAGAGAGAGTAAAGAGAAAGTGAGAGAAG